ATATTCCTGGCGCGATGGAACATCGTTTTCACCAGACCTCTTTTGTGAGCCACAGGAGCGAAACTGGCAAATTGTAAGTATTGTCCACTCAATGTAGTCTTACGGTAGATGGATTTTTGTAAGGTTCCATCTCATCGCTTCCTGATTTTTATATCTAAAAAATTCAAACAACCATCTTTTTCTTCCTCGAGGGAAACTGAGAGGTTGGGATGAATAGTATTAAACAGTGGTAAAATGGTGTTAAAATGTTCAGGGTCGGTAAAAATCAAAATATCATCAACATAACGTTTGTACAAAACAGACATTGAAATATCATCATTCAATCGTCTTTCAATCATTCCAAGAAAAACATCGGCTAGTGTTGGACCTAAGGGACTGAAGAGATTAAAAGAAATGTTAAAATCTCGCAGTATTTGTCTTCTCTCTGTTCTAACGAATTGGATAAAGGGGACCCAATGTTTCATGTCAAACTGTTTGTTACCGAGGGGTAGGGAATGGGCGTGGGGTGGGGTGGGGTGGAAATCATGACATTGTGGGAAAAGAAATGATCGATATTCCGATCCCATGATCGGATGTTACTCACACTTTGATTGTCAAACATGCGCATTGGTTTAGATTATTGATGGATGGGTAAGGAGTGGCTGTGTCGTGTGTGTTGTTGGTCATGAAGTTCCACATGTCCTGGATCAGTTGGAGAGGCTTTCTGGAGGTAGAGTTTGAGAATCTATAATCCCAAATGTCAGATCTAGTTCCGCATTGATCAAAAGATGATGAAGACCGGAAATTCATTTTGGTAACGGCAAAACATCGGGGACGGCTGAAGGAAAAAAGGAAAACTGAAATGTTATTCTTTCGGGACTAGACCATTAGTGTTGGAATATTCCTTTTAAATAGATCAGACAACATGAACAAGATGGGCAGCATACTCAGAGACGCCCAAAACATTTCATAAAATCGCTGACAGAAAGATGAAACAGAACAAATAGAAAGGTCACTAGTGACTTCCTTTTGAACGCTGTCGAAAAAGTTCCATTGCCTAAAGCATATAGATTTAATAGACAGTGCCCCATTTGAATAAATCCAAATTGAGCTCACATCAAAATGGAATGCCTTTCCAATCGATCCTAGACACGTGCAATTCCATGACCAACACCACACGCGATACACTTAACCTCCATCCGGCCCGAATGACCCGAATTCATGCTCCTGTGTGACGAGAACAGTGTGAGCATTATCCGATCATGGAACTGGAGTATTGATTAATTCTTTTCCCACAGTATCATAATTTCTCTCCTTCTCCCTCTGATGATTTCTTAGCATATGAAACAGCTTGGTCGCTACAATGTGCTTTTTCTTACACTTTTTAATAATCAGTTTCTACAAAGCAACTGGATAAAATTTCATAACTCCTTCCCCTCTCACCTAAGTTTTATGATTGATCATGAGTTTTATTGCCATGCCGTGATTGCATATTCATTTCGAATCTTGAGAATGCACAATCTAGCAGAATTCTTTTCTGCAAGCGTCTTCTAATTGAAAAATCTGGACACTGTGCACCACTACTGTGAGTTGACACAATTTCCATAGATAGACTGTCACGCGAAAGTTTCTACATCATGACTATCCACGGATTCCCCAGTGAAGCGGTGATCTGCATTTCAAGAAATTATTCAGTCATACCTGCTGATATGGTTGTTCCCAGGTAGCATGTCATCCACTAGCAGTGTGCTACATTTGAGCTACAAATGAGCTTCGATACCAAAATTGTAGCACATTTGTAGCTAATAGCGCGCTAATGGCCGGCTACACCGAGCTACATTGCACTACATCCCGTTTTAGCTGTTCGCCCAAAGGCCGACAATTATCCGTTCTCTAATCCTCTATTAACCATATAATTTCACCTGGATTTACTATCTCGACATGGACTTCAACACATTTTGTGCACCAATTGGAACACGCTTATTCACGGAATTAAGACACCGAAAATAAGAGTTCTTTGATGTAATCAACAATCAGAATGAATCTTTAAACCAAAGAGAGTTATGATAAATGAGTTTTAAAGGTTGATTACCGATTAATAACAAATGTAGCTGATGTAGCTCTTTGCAGTCGATCAAAGCGCTACGTTGTGCTATCTGGGTTCTTTGGTTCTATAAACGAGTAGTTGACATGCCTGTCGTTAGACTATAGTTTATAGTAATCTGTTACATTGAAATTGCTTATATGAATGAAATCCTTAACGTTCTCAGACATTGTGATTGATCGTCAGAGATCGCCCGGAATATGCTATCTGTTAGGAAGGAGCTTAAGCAGCCCGTCCGATCGCGCACGCTTCCGAGTCAGGCCCCACGCACGATCGTAACGCTCCAGACAGGCTGAATCCGATTGCATGATCAAAAAACGTGTCCGATCGATCAATCGATATGTGAAGGACGCAATCTGATTGGTGCATCACAGCGGGGTTCTCGTATACACGATTTGTTCTATGTATTCGCGTATCGATATCTACTCAAAATAGTACACACTGACGGTTGTCTTAAGGTGTGTTCTGTCTTCGCGTTATCTTGTGGGGATAAGCAAGAGTCACTCGTGTCATTCCTAAGTCTAGTCCGAACACAACACTATCCATTTCTGCCTGATCCTTCAAGTCGCTGTTCGGTTCTCCGCGGCTTGGAGGCATAGCCACCAGACCCATATAAATATGGTGATCCTAGCCTACGGGATAACGCCAGCCACGGAGCTACGCGTTATCTCTTCTGGACAACGAACCACAGGCCAATCGTGCCGACCAATCAGAAGTCGTGCGATCCAGACAGAAGCTGTATGACGTCAAGAATACTAGTAGGCGATTGGTGAGTACCAGTTTAACCAATAAACTTTCTTTGTAAATGTTATTTAATTCTTCTGATTTTTTTCAATAAACAAAGTGCTACTTCTGTGACATTTTTATTACGTTTCGGTGACGCTAGATTCCACCGTACACGTGCTAGTGCGATTCAGTTTTTCACTTGCGTCCATGATTCGTAATCTGTGCCTACTACTTTGACTACTACGATAAACCCACTACATTCAGGACTGAGGAAACCACACTGTTTTGAAAGATATTGTCTGTTTTTGTGCAAAAGTAGATAAATGTCATTAACAGTTATAGTTTTTTTTTCAAAGGAAAACAAAACATTATTTCAGTTTGTGGGGTGGGGTGGGGTGGGGTGGGGGGG